CATTTTCCTTTTTTTTCCTAGAGAGGGTAGTTTCGTATTTTGAGGAACAATTGGTGGACTTGGTAAGAGAAGAAGGTAAGGGGCAAAATGGGCATACAAGATAGAGAAGATATGTAGTTGCTAATAATAGAAGGTTGGAGCTGAGGCAATCTTATTCGGAGGGAGGCGATGTTATGTGGGGGAAGTACCGTTCGAGGAAGGACAGATTCAACCGCACATGGTACGGTTTTATCACGGTTCCCTAAACTATTACGTACATGCCGGACAGTCTTTACGCTCTCGCTAAGAGCGTGAATCCACGCTCGAATCAAATTCGGAAAAGTGGTCCATTATCGACAGCTTTATTACAACACTGCCACTCCAGTGAGCTGAAATAAGTACACCTTGCATTCTGCAATGTTGGAGACTTGGAGTAGTTGCACGGTGTAGTGTACCTGTAAAATTTGACAGGCCAACCAATTACAGGTTACCACGTATAATTTCATTTTCTTAAATTTTTTATAGCTTATTGCATTTTTTAATTGTATTTTATAGCCTATAGTTAGCACAACTTTGTCTTTTTCTTCCTATACTAAAAATGTGCATGTGCATACATGCACTAGGGGCGGTAAACTGTATGTTAAGACCATTTCAATACAAATATTAATACTAATTATATATTTGACATTAAAAAATATGACATGTTATTTTTATTTTTATTTTAATGCATAATGCTATTTAAAATACTAAATTTATTTTTTTCATAAGTTGTTAGAGTAATCTTTTATTTTTAAAATACTTAGAAATTACAAAAGTTGCAATGATTATATAAAAAAGTAAACATTTCAATCAATAACAATCAAATGTTAAATTTTTAATATGCTATATTTTGTGAGAAATTTACCACAAAATATAGCATATGAAAAATTTAGCACAACAAATAACATAGTATTAGAAAGTGTTTCTGCACTCAAATGCTAAATTTACAATTGAAACATCAATTATAACATTGCATTGGAGATTTTTTAAGTTTTAATTACTATGTTATTATTAAAAACATATAACCTCTGAATATAAAATCTCTAAAATGAACCAAAAATGAAAAAAAAGGGTCAAGTTTTAGGGCAAGAAGAAAAAAAAAGGTAAAAAGGATTAAAATGAAGAAATAAATAAGGTTTAAGGTAAAAGGGACCAAAACGAAAAAAAGTTTCAGGACAAAAATAAAAAGGGGGTAAAAAATTACTAGTATGTAGAAATAAATAAGTTTTAGGACAAAAGAAAACAATAAAATAAATTTGAGGGAAAAAATTTTAAAAAAAAGTCAAAAAAGGTCTAAAGTGAGGATTTAAATAAGTTTTAGGGTAAAATGGACTAAAACGGAAAAAAAAATAAAATTTCAGGACAAAAATAAGAAAAAGGGTAAAAAAAGACAAATTAAAAAATAAATAAAATTTTGGGCAAAAAAGAACTAAAATGGAAAAAATAAAATTTTAGGATTAAAGTAAAAAAGGGTTAAAATAGGCCTAAATTGAAGAAATACTAAAGTTTTAGGACAAAAGAAACTAAACATAAAAAAATAAAGTTTCAGTGCAAAAATAAAAAAAAGAGTAAAAAAAAGACCAAAATGAATAAATAAATAAGATTTGAGGCAAAAGTAACAAAAATTGAAATAGAAATAAATTTTAAAAGAAAAATAAGAAAGATGAAAAAAAAGAAGAAATATATAAATTTTATAGCACCGCCAAAATGAAATATCTAAGTAGAATAACATGTAAACAAAAAATCAATCTAGGTAAATAAAAAGAAAAAAGTTAAAAAGATAACGAAAAGTACAAAATTATGAGGAAAAAAAAAAACCCTTGTCAACCCAAAACGCTCGTTTTGGTTGACAAATATTGTTCACTGAACAATATTTATTAAAATTTGTATGTATGTATAGATATATAGGGTTTTTTCTTCGGTCCCTCCCGAAAGATCGTCTCTCTAAAGTAATTTTTAATTATAATAACGTAATATGATAATTATTGAACATAATATCGACGTTAAAGAAAAATAATATAATCTTTAAATGGGTAAATTTTTTAATGTTACTTTTCTCTAATGTTAATGTTATTTTTAATCATTATTATATTATATTTTTATAACTATATATTATGTGGAGAGACCTCCCAGCAAAAGGATCAAGGAAAGACCCCTAGTAGATAATTTGGATAACGGAAAAAAAAAACGTTTTTGCAAAAAAAGAAAAAAAAAAATACAAAAACAACAAATCTTGTCTTCTTCTTCCACAAGAAGGAAAAAACAAAGAGGAAAAGTTGAAAAGAAAACAAAGAAGTGCAAGTCAAAAGTCTACTCATTTAGGGGTGCTGGATGTACGGATTTTGTTAATATGTAAAGGACGTTTGGTTGGAGGATTCAAACTATGTGATTCGAACAATTTTCGATTTACGTGAATTTTTTGTAAGAGAAAATACTTTAGCAAACTACGAATCATGATTCGTATCAGGGAAAGAATCCCTCTACCAAACATTAGTCATCCTGAGAAGAGAATGGCAAGTAGCCAAGTAGATCTTATGCTACGGAATGATAACAAAAATCAAAAAAATAATTTTTAATTATTTTTTTTATGTTTTTTTCTCTTTAATAGAAAGAAATATATTAATGAGTTTTTTGTATTAAAAATAATCTCTTAATAAAATTACTAAATATATTTTTAAAAATAATTTATGTCTGAGATTAAAAACGTTTTTATTTCTATTTTCATATTAAAAATAAAATCATTTTAAAACGAATTCTAAACGCGCCTAAAAATTTCTACCTAGTAAACCCTCGACAAAAAAAGTGCAAGTAAAAAGTCTACTCATTTAAGGGTGTTGGAAGTACGGATTTTAATAATATATTTGTCATCTTGAGAAGAGAGCGGCAAGTAGATCCGATGTTACGATTTATTTTTATTTTTTTCTCTCTCTCGTAAAAAAAGAGATATTAATAAGTTTTTTATATTAAAAATAATCTCTTAATAAAATTATCAAACACATTTTTAAAAATAATTTTTATCTTAAATTAAAAACATTTTTATTTATATTTTCATATAAAAAATAAAATTATTTTAAAATAAATTTTAAACGGACCTAAAGGTTCCTACCCGGTAGACCCTCAACGAAAGAAGTGCAAGTCAAAAGTCTACTCATTTAAGGGTGCTGGAAGTACTGATTTTGTTAATATGTTAGTCATCTTGAGAAGAGAATGATAAGTAGATCCTATGCTACGGAATGATAACAGAAAACAAATATGGAAAATGGTAATTTTTAATACGGAATAATAACAGAAAACAAATATGAAAAATTGTAATTTTTAATGAGTGAATTATAGGTATGAAGAAGAACTCTTTATTAAAGCATAGTTACGAATCACATCATCTTAGAACCATATTAAATGAACAAAGATATAATACTTAAAAATGATTTACCATTTGTTCCAAGGCTTGTTTGGTTAATGGAAGAATTCAAATTTTTAAAATTTGTGTGAGAAAAAACATTATAACACAATCTTTTTAAATTTAAATTTTTTTTTTTTGGTGCAAAAGGAAACTGTGTATCAAAACTTTGAATTTTGATTCAAACTCCTCTACTAAACAAACTTACAGTTACTAGTATGATATTCCATATTACATCTTGCTGGTATGCTATTTTTAATTGTCCTTTTTTATTTATGGAAAAATCCAGATAACTACTAATTGCAATGGGTATTTTCTTGTGTTTTGATTCTTGACAAATTGAAAACAGTAAACATGTTTTCTTTCTTCTATCTTTCAAATTGGACTTAAGAGAAACTTGATAAAAATTAAACATTATTTTCTTTAATTTAAAAGCGACTATACTTTATTATTGAATGGTGAGTTTACTGCTAGATCAATATGTAAAAAGACATAAATTAGATAGTAATTAATAAAATATCATTAACGTAAAAACTTATGGCATACTAATGGTTTTCAAAAGACTACGTTATTGAGTACAATAGATTATTCCAACTTCAATAGAAATATTTTTGTCACATATTACTGTACTTACATTTAACATGAGTCTTAATTTTTACTTTTACTTTTGATAAATTCTCTTTTAATTAATATAGTTATTTAAGATATTAACAAAAAATAAAAGATAAAAATTTAAACTCAAACAATCAAAGTAAAAGTATGTCTCTTTTTCCCAATATGTTATAGTCTATTATCCATTTCACTTGAAACATTCAATATCCATCCAAATGAATCCATTAAAGTCCTATCGTGCAAGGTGATACGGTGAAAGTCTCCAAGTGCTAAGGCCCGTTTAATTCATACATTTAAATCAATGATTTTTAATTTTAACATTTAAAATTTAAATTTTTTATTAAAAAAAAATACTATAACAGAATTAAAATTATAAATTTAAACGCATAAAATAAACGAGCATATAGTAATTGAATTATGAGTCAGTGTCTTAAGAGAGGAAAGAAAAAAAAAGGCCATTGAAATCAGCTTGAAATTCATAATATTAAACTGTCATTATGTACTGGCAGCATCGAAATTCCTCGGGGAAAAAAAGAAAAGGTACAAATTGGTTTGTTTGTAAAACGGACTTGCATTGATGTTAACTATTTTCTCTAGTAAAATTTAAATTTCTATTCAAACCTATAAACCAAACAAATAGAACCTATAAACCAAATGAGCCATTTGTTTCTATGGGTTTTTCCATTAGCTTCTCCAAAATGTGGACCATCCTTCTAAACAAAATTTGAAATAAAAGTTAAGGCAGTTCCCTGTTGCCAAATATCAACGTTTGATATTATTGGAAAACAGGAAGAGAGAACAGGGGAGAAAAGAGCCGAATCCCTTTTTCACTAACCCAAACTTGTTTTGAGCAATTAATGTTGGTAGTCTTCCTTTATTGCTACTTTATTAACCCAAACTTGTTTTGAGCAATTAATGTTGGTAGTCTTCCTTTATTGCTACTTTATTAGTTTTTACTCATTGTATCGGATTATGTGTAACCATATTTTTTGGGGAACGGCTATTTTCAGCCATCAACACATGTTTCGCTCTGATCACAAAAACAGAAGTAAATGAGAGAGTAATATGTAATGAGAAAAATACTCTACCAATCTAAACAATCAGTTGATTGGATCAAACAAATATACTACATCAACACCACTTCTGCACCTTCTCGCCTTTCATTTCCTCTTCGAACCATCTACTGGTTTCTCAACTTCGATATGAATCAGGTTTTACTGGAAATTCTAAAATCAGTTAAGAGGATCTACATGACTACAGCATGAGTAAAACCACTTCAGCTATTACATCTCCCTGAAAAATGAACTCAAACAATGCTTACCTGAGCGAAAAAGGTCGGTTACTTCTTTGCAAAAGTAATGGCCATGGGGTTCTGAGGAGTAATTTTGAACCCTTGAAGGGCCTGCATGGCCATGGATGATTGAACATCGTCTTCAAACTCTACAAAGGCAATACCTGGCTTTGCCTCAATCATCCGAACTTCCCTAAATCCTGGGTACTGTCGGAAGAGCAATTCTAGCATCATACTATTGGTCTCATGGGGCAAATTCTCTATGAAAAGTATATTATTTGGAGCTGCAGCTTCTTGTGCTCTCATATTTCCTTGGCGGAATGGAGCCTGCATATAATTCATGGAAACAGAAGCATAAACGAGCATGCTAGACCACAACTTATTGGAAAAACTGAAAAAAGCATTCCGGTCAACCTGAGAAGATGGAAAATGATAGAAAAAGTACTGATAAAACTTACTGTTGTTACCCCATTTTCAGCTCCTGTGTCATTAGGCGCAGCAGATTGTTGTCCTTCTTCTGCACGTCGCTTTCTTTCCGCTGGGCAAATAGATTTGTGTCAAATACAGAGAAGCTAGACTATTGTAAATGCATAGTTTCTATATATCATAAGTCAGAAAATGAATTTGTCACCTTTTTCCTCTTGCTTCTTTTTCTTTTCTCTAGGAACAAAGCTTCCTTCTGCTTTAGCAACACAATCTGACTTTGTCTTTGCATATTGAATTCGCTACACCAAATCATCACAAGTCACATACACTTTTTGTTGGTAGAAAACCAAGTAATGCATGTGAATAAAAAAAAGAAAGGATATAACAAAACCATCATTTTCAAACATAAGATGCATTTTCTAATGTCAAATTACGATTTTAAGTCTTGTGGGTAGGCGCAGTCCATATGGATATTTCTCATTTAGCAGTCCAAACAGTCCACGGGTGACAGAAAGTTGCAAATTACATAACAAAGAGACGGCAAAAACATCAAGTCTAAGCATTAGTGACTGCCATAGTTATAGAGAAGTAGAGAACTACTGCAAAAGGAATCAAACAGATTCAAGGCCAATTCTTTTGGAGTGTGACTTGAGTGTAGTTTTTGAGTTGAATTTGAGTTATAACTTGAGTTGAAGTTGTAACTTGAGTTTATGTTTGGTTGTGTACATTTGAGTTATAGTTTGAGATAAGAATCTTTTTTTAAGTTTGTATTTGAGTGAGTCAAAACTAATTTGCATTTAGATAGTATTTTAATAAAAACTCAATGGTGATGAAAAATTTTAATAGGATATATGGGTGGGGTTTTATTCATCTTTTTGTTGTCAATGCATAGAAAAAAAAATCATCTCAATCAGGATTAAAACGAAAAAGTTATAACATTTTTAAGAATAGAAAAAATACTGTTCATTAATTTGAGTTTGAGTTTCTGAACTCAAGTTAAAGGGGACACTTGAACTCGAGTTTTAATCCCAAACTCGAGTTCAAACTCGAATTCAAACTTAAAAGAACATGAACTTGAATAAAGTTGGAACTCGAGTTGCATTTTTTTGAGTTTTTTGGACAGCCGAACACACCCTCAAATTCCCCAAAGTTAAATCTTAACATACAACAAAAGAATATTCCTTAACATTGACATTTTCTTTTCTTAACAGTAGAGCTTATTCCAGCTGCGTGACAACTGGCTAATGCCGTTCATAGCAAAATGATGAATAACTCCTAAGGTAAAGGCTTATCACAACATAAATCTTCTTTCTTAATGCTCACTAGCTTTTCAGCTGTTTATTTTATATGCCAAACATCACATGTAACACAAGAAATTTAGAATAGAAACCTAATGCAAAAATAGAGTAACAAATTGGACATTGTTCTTGAAATTTAGAATTTAAACAACATCGATGCTGATCCCAAACAACCATACAGCCAACATACATAAGAAAAAAAGAACAAAAACGACAGCTTGGCATAGCAAGACTCACCATAGGCTTATCATAAAACGGAAAGTTCTGCATTTGCCGCACAGCATTACTTGCGGCGGTCACTTCACTAAATGCGATCCATGCTTGTCCCCGAAGCTTCAGTGTCTTCAAGGCAACAACGTCCAAAATTCTTCCATATTGAGAGAAGTTGCATTATTTTGAGTTTTTTGGACAGCCGAACACACCCTCAAATTCCCCAAAGTTAAATCTTAACATACAACAAAAGAATATTCATTAACATTGACATTTTCTTTTCTTAACAGTAGAGCTTATTCCAGCTGCGTGACAACTGGCTAATGCCGTTCATAGCAAAATGATGAATAACTCCTAAGGTAAAGGCTTATCACAACATAAATCTTCTTTCTTAATGCTCACTAGCTTTTCAGCTGTTTATTTTATATGCCAAACATCACATGTAACACAAGAAATTTAGAATAGAAACCTAATGCAAAAATAGAGTAACAAATTGGACATTGTTCTTGAAATTTAGAATTTAAACAACATCGACGCTGATCCCAAACAACCATACAGCCAACATACATAAGAAAAAAAGAACAAAAACAACAGCTTGGCATAGCAAGACTCACCATAGGCTTATCATAAAACGGAAAGTTCTGCATTTGCCGCACAGCATTACTTGCGGCGGTCACTTCACTAAATGCGATCCATGCTTGTCCCCGAAGCTTCAGTGTCTTCAAGGCAACAACGTCCAAAATTCTTCCATATTGAGAGAATAACGCGTAAAGCGATCTCTTCAATTCTGCCAAATGAAGGAGGTCTAATGTCACAAAATCGCATTACCATAAGCTTATCATAATTCATAAAAGAAACAAAATCAAGCTAAAATATCCTAAAGTTCATCCCCACCAAGAAAAAAAAAACGCGAATCTTACAACAATACTAATCGCAAAACTAATCCCTTCCCTATTCGTAAAATCTTCTCCCATTATCAAGTTTAACTACAACCATTATCTCATTCTCACCCTGCCTCTCAAAAAGCGCCAAAATTCAAAAGAAACTCTCACATCCTTAGAATGGTTAAAATTCCACTTCAAAACCACGAATTCAAATTCTACACAGTAAATAACGGACTCCAGGTAAGTATATTCACTAATCATTACCCAGTTCATACTATAAAATCTTGCAACAAAGTGAGGTCTTCAAAAAAAAAAAAAAGTGCATAGCATGAAATTATATAGTTCCTCAAGCTTCAACTACTAGAACCGGTTCCGCCTAACTTTAACAGATCGCATTTTCCGTCAATTAGTCTCATTTGCTCCAAATTGAACCCTAAACCTAAACCTAAACCTAAACCCTCCAAGGCTCCATCAGAAAGCTAAACGAACCAAGTTCCAAATCATAAATGTATTGTAAAAAACAAAAAAAGGAAAATTCCTCTTGCAAAGTCCAGATTATTACGAAATTAGAGCTGAGTAGAGACGAGACAAAAAGGAATAAAAAAAAATTTGGACCTTGTTGATATTTTCCTTACAATTCTCGGGAGCCAAACAAATGGAATGGGGGGGTTTTGATAGGGAAATAATTACCTTCTTTCTTGATCTTCTCGTTGAGATTCTTAATGTAAATGGTCTGATTGGGAGGTGTGTCGCCGGAGAGCATGGTTGCTAAGTCACTCAAAGCCGTCTCTGTGCGGGATCAGACTCAGCCCTAGAAGTAGCTACACAATCTTCTTCTCATTCTCCTCTGCAAGCGGGAATTACTTGGGCCCGGCCTTTAGTACGGGCCCATCTTGTCTATATTGGGCCTTGGCCCCTTCATGTATGATTAAATTGGAAAGAGAAAAATCTTATTTTTATCCCTTACTCTTAATTAATATATTTTTTAGTTAAATAATTATATTAATAAAATAGTAATAATTAAGAGTAAGGGATAATAATTTATACCGGTACACTTTTAAAGGTAAGTTTAACAATTTTTTCTGAGGGAAAATGTTCTTTTTTAGTTTAATACATCATATGTCTATTATGCAGGAGATAGATAAAAGAATGTTAATAAGTCGTAATATTTACACATAAGTATATGAAATTACATGTAATGACATTCATATTCTTTGTTAGCTACCATTAAAATCACTAATACAAATTTATAACTACCCACATATTATCTCAATAATCACAAAATGGATAGATTGACATTATTGTTAAATTAAAGACATATCATCAATATAGATTAAAGTGATCATTTTGTATATTTACTTCTTTCTCTGCTTTTTTTTTTTGAAAAAAACAATTATGCTATATTACAAAAAAAAAAAAATACAATGTACCTCTAAATGTTGTGAAAATATACCATCATAAATATGCATATGTATATCTATATATTAAGGTTACTTGGTTAATTTTTGGTATCTAAAATGGTGTCTAATTAATTATATTTTGACATATCAATTAGCGGACTAAAAAAATTAAAGTATGAAAACCCATTTAAAAAAACATTTTAAATTTCATAAATGATTTGTCATGACATGATTGGTTAGACACCATTTTGAACATCAAATTTAAAAAAGTGTCTAGGTCTGTATATGCATATTTAATAAATTATGGAGTTCATTAAATCACATTTTCATGATATATAAATGGTAGAAATTGTTATAAATATCATTGAAACTAAATTAAGTAAATAGTAAAATTTAAAATATTTGAAGTAAATAGCAGTGAAAAGATTTTTTTACCGTGTACCACTACAAGAAAAAGGGGTTTTTACAACGACAATAAGTCGTCGCAAAAACCCCAGTGTCGTCGTAAATAATCGTTTTGGCGACAACATGTCGTCGCAGATATGTCGTTGTAAAAAATTAGTCGCAAAAACTTTTTTTGCGACGCCACAGTGTCGTCGCAAATATATTTGTGACGACATATTTTTTTTTGCGACGATAAGCGTCGCTAATACGCCGTTGTGAAATTCTCGTGATATAATATTTTTTGCGACGAAAAATTTCAAAATGTCGTCGCAAATAATCTTCCTTTTTTACGATGACAAGTATAAAAAGTCGTCGCAAAAAACTAAAATAAAATTTTTTTTCAATTTTTTTAAAAATGGCAATTAATTAATTTTTAATAATTTTAATTAAACATTATTATGTTACATACTGAATATAATTTATTAAGATACATGAAAAGTGAAATATAAATTAATATTAAAAATAATAAATCTAAATAAATTTATAAAATATATTATGAATACTACATGAAGTGCATATATAATGTTCAAAAAAATATAAAAGTCTAAATAAAGTGAAAAATAAAAAAAGTACATATAACGGAACTAATCGTCTAAGTTTACAGCATCGCCAACATCTGAATCATCATCAGGACTGTCATCATCTGAAGGAGGCAGAGGAGCGTCTAGGTCAACTGGTTCTGGACGAGCAATCGTAGGTAATTGGATGTTGGGCTGCAATTTAGACACCAACTCTAACATCTTCACCTGATTGTCATAAATCTTCATTTGTTCCTGTGGGTCAGGTTGAGCCGATGATGTTGCGTCCGAGAATGAACCAGCAGATGAAGGAGAAGCCCCGGAGTAATGCTTTTGGGAGAGCGTCGGACCTACTCCTATCTTATGTCCTCTACGCATGCCAATAACTTGCTCTAAAACCCCATGCTCGTCAAGGGGGGGTCTAGTCGAGCTTGAAGTAGTCTGTAATATCTGCATTTGTCTCTCCTCCTCCAGGGTGTTCTACATAATAAGACATTATAATTATTTTTACGTGTTATAAAACCACTATTTCAGTATAAAAAAATTTAATATGAAAAGTAAAAATACTTACGAAAGTCTGTTCCG